AAAAATTTAAGTTTACAGTTGAAATGACGAAAATTTTTGTATACCGATACTGATCAAACATTCAATATTAATATCGGTATATAAAATTTTTTATACACTGATAATTTGATATACCGATACTTTTTTCCTAAAACAGCAGCATCGGTATATAGAGGTTTGACTGTATATCATAAAATCATGAATTATTATTGTTTGAGGCTCCAATTTATATTTTATTAAATGACGTAAAATTTTTATTGTGATGATCCTAATAAGTGCTCCGTAAGTCAGGTTTAATACTCGAACTTAAACCCGACCTGTTAATAATTACGGAATCCGAATTTGACTTGACTTGATCATTGTTCAATTCAGATTCGACCCAACTTGATTATTATTTAACTCAGACTCGACTCGAAATCTCAAGAGTTGCTTTATGCTAACCTTAAAGGACAATGGTTTAATATATGGAAAAAAATTTAAATACTTACCCGATTCGATGTTGCACCTCAACACTACCTAAAAATCAAGAAAAAGACGCATAAGACGGTTTTATTTTAAAAAGCTAAACTGATTCTGCGCTTCTTACAAATCATTACATTTATTTTATTACTTTTTAAATTTATTTCCAATATTTTTTTATAAACAAATAAACAAAAAAAAAAATAATTCTTTATTTTTCAAGACATTTCAAGATAATTTCAAAGTAATTTACATATTTTTATTTTTAAATATTTCAAAAAGTTTTCTTTTATATACAGTTTAATTAATAAAATATAAAATAATTTTGGAGTTGGAGTAACATAAAAATAAAACAACGAAAGCATTTATTCTAACAGAAACTATCCGATTTCGAAGAGGAATCTAAAGAAAAAGAAAGGGATTCAATATTTTATAAAACATCATTTCAAAAAAGAGCTGTAAATTGAATTTGTTGCTTAAATTCCAAAAAAACAATTCTTCTACATATTAGGTTAAGCAAAACGGTGACAAGCTTTTCAGCATTTTTTCATTTATAAATATTTATTTTAATGCCGTAAACAAAAAGTGTTATACAAAGTTTATTTTGTTTTTAAAATTTATTATTTTTTTTTTGTGAGCATTAATCCTAATACTTTTTTTTTTTTACATCTTTTTCACCAGAATTCAAGCACATATGGGCGAATTGTATTAGCTTTAAGACAACATCTTTTGGTCGATATCAGATCGGTTTCGCCAGAAAATCTTAAATTACTAAAACACTTGTTGCTTTATAAAAAAATGTATTAGTTAATTTTAATAACGATAAATGATAATTTTTTTTTTTACCTGTAATTGTTCACTCCGCAATGCTTTTCGTTTTCTAGAAGAATTTGTACTATCGGTAGTCTACTTATTATTTATTTGTTACAAATTAAAGTCGCGTAACATAAAACAAAAAAAAAGTCTAGCGCGTCAATTTTATATTGATATTGTTTAAATCAAATCATCCAGGTCACCGGGTCGACCCGGGTCGACTCGGGTCAAGCAAAAACGTGGCCCTGACCCGGCGGGTTTTTTGAATTAGGACTCGTGTCATAAAAATGTTAGTCCCGACTCGAGAAAAAATTCGAGCAACCCAGGTCGACTCGATCGTTTCGGAGCACTAATCCTAATAATACTTTAGTTTAGCAATTTATATTTAAAGATATAAATGACATCTTTTAACTGAGATAATCAGTTTGCTTTCATTTTTTTGCCAATAAATTCCAATAAATTTAAGTTTGATAAATTGTTTTACAAATTAAATATACAGTATGTAGTAAAACATAAAATATAACTCAATTTGGTATTACATTATGTTGTGTAACAAATATTGTAGCACGTTAATAACTAATTAAAATACTTCCATTTATATTATTCAAAAATTTTTTTTTTTAGTTTAATTGCAATTATGATTTGTAAGAGTTATAAATTGCTTGAAACTTTCATTTTCATTTTAGGCTATTTGTTGTTTAGTGTTGAGCCTTTTACATCTGTAGGGTGATATGCTCATTCTTCTGTCCTTGTTGGAAATAAACTTTATTTTTTTGGACGGGTATTAAATTATACTAAATGTTCAAATGAAGTGTTTTACCTTGATTTATCTCGGTCATTTAATTTAGTTACTCCACCTTGGATTGACCTCAAGCAAAATTATAAAATACCATTCAATAGTTGCTGGGGAACTATTTCGCTAAATGATAAGGAGCAAATTATTTACTTATTCGGTGGAATTATGCGTAATGATTTGAGACAAGATGCTTTTGTCATTCATTCAATTTAAATTCTTTAACGTGGAATGTACCTGACGTCGGAGGAACTCCACCTAAAAGACGCAGAAATATACGGAGCGTTATCGCTAATTCTGGAATCATGTATATATTTGGTGGATCTACTGGACCATTGACAGGTTCACCAACATCAATGACTTTCAATGATATGGTAATTTTAAATACTGTTGAATTATCTTGGGTAATCAAAACAATTAATCAACCGAATCCAAGACATCTATATACCGCAACTTTACTGAATAATGGAGTTATTGTATATATTGGAGGGTTTGAAGATGATATTACTGATATTAAACAAATCATTCTTTACGATACGAATACATTAGCTTGGTCAGAAAAAGTATGTATTTTGTGCTAACAAAAGTAATAATCTTTTAAAATATAAAATAATTGATGTGCATTCATTTATAGATGGCGAAAACTTCAAGCGTAATCGAAAATCGTAAAGGACACACGGCAGTGTTAGGTATAAGTTTTTAATATAATAGTTTATTTAAACCAAACCATTATTTATTTATTTGCTTTTTTATTTATTTTAATAGTCTCTAATAGTAAAATAATTATTTATGGAGGTTCTAAAATTCTCAATAACGTTATTAATAATGCCCAAGTTGTTACAGTTATGTTTGTTTTAAATATGGAAACTGAGCAATTTGAATTGACTGTACCACCAGTTACGTCAAATATTGGTAAAGTTCCACCATCACTTACTGGTCATACAACTAACATGGTTGATAATTATATGATTGTAGCTTTTGGTAAGTAAATATTTATATTGCTTTATAATAATAATATAAAATAGAATTATTTATTTTGTAATAAATTCCAATTTATATAATAGGAAATATTACATATCCAAATTCCGATCCATTTACATTACCGAATTCTAACATTTATATAATGGATATTAGAAATTATACGTGGGTTAATTCATTTGAATTAACAAATGTTGCAACAAAATCCGATAATAAATTAATGAAAATTATAATCGCATCAATAGGAGGAGCATTAGTTTTATTTATTTTTATCACTTGTGGATTTTTAATAAATAGATGGAATAAAAAAAGGAAAGCACTACCCCCTAGACACATTAATGAGGAACATACTTTACCCGGAAGCATCGTAGAACATGATAGAAGTAGTTATATTCCTACCTATTAATTATATCTTATTGTACCAATTCAACTAATGCTTCAATATAATTTATATTTAAAATATCCTTTATTTTGTTATATTTTTTCCATAGTTAATTATTCTCAAATTATATTCACCTCGTAGTTTTTATTATTTGTAAATAAAGCGGATAAAAAATACAAAATATTTGTCAAACTTAATGTTACGCAGCAACGTCATGCATGAAAATCTGAATTTTCATGATGACTTTGGAAATATTTGAAGGATTAATATCACAAATATTTTTATATGTTTCAACCAGTGTTAGAAGTCCACTTATTCTTGACATGGGAGGTTTGCTATCTTCCCTCGGACACGTGATTATAATAATAAAATATTTGGCACCTCGTATCACACCCCTCAAGTTTCCGTTTTTATTCAGGGGAACAATTTTTTTTTTGGAGTGGCGAAATATTATTTGTCGCGTATCTATTTGTCACGGTTAGAAGTCAAAAGTCACATGTCCATGAATTTTTGATGTATGATTTACTATGCTCGTAACTCGATTTTAATAGCAAACCTCTCATAAGTCCAATGGTCATTTAAAAAGTCCAGTTAGTCCAATTGACCAACAACTGGTTTCAACGTTACCGTCACATGAAAACTTGCTTATAAATAAAAAACACTATCCTTACAATCCGTTTATACTGAAAGAACTATTTATAATAAATCTAGTTAAACCGAAGGAATTTGATATAATAAATTTAGTTACATTTTTTACAATTAAATAAATCCGGTACAACCTCAAACCATTGTTGCGGGACTGTCCTTCAACTATAGTCAAATTTCAATATTCCTATTGTCAATAAAGATATCAATATGTAGAACGCAGTAATATTTAGCCCTTTCATCCGAATTAGGAATTATATTTACAGCTAAAATTAATTGAGCTTATAATAAACGATCATAACTATCCTTGAAGGATTGTAATGAGAAAATTTTTTCTTAACTTGATACCCGTTATATAAATAAAAGAGAAAAGAAATAAACATAATAAAGTTATTTCGAAGGTATACAATCCCGGTGCCAAAATCCCGATTAAAACACATTATCCATATACAAATTACATCTTCGCAAAAGAACGTTACTACGTCCATTGAATATAAACGTTTTGCATTTTCTTTAAACTCAAACTTATAGAAACATCTATATTTGAATTTTCATTTATATGATAAAATGAAATAAATTTGACTGCTATTCAATCAATGTTGACCATATTTAGTGATATGACATTCTAAATATTGTTTTCGTGATTATGACATAATATGTACTTTTGGGGACATAACATTTTCCACAAATAATATAATCCTTGTTTAGGAGCCAAAATTTTATAATCTATTAAAAAATAATATTTTACAAGAAAAATTTATACTTTTTAAAATATTTGTGATTAATTAATTGAAGATTCCTGAAATTCCTAGTGATATATTTTATGTTTTCTTCTCCCATTTTAAAAAATTAAAGCCAAAAAACCATATATAGAAATGATTATCATCTTCTACAAAACAGAGAAAAAAAATGAATGATAAATCAAAAGAACAAAAAAAAAATAAATATTTGAAAGATAATTAATACATTTATGTATTAAAATATTCATGTGGCAAATTCTCAGATAAATTTATCTTATTCTTTCAACTATCTGATCAGCAATTTATACGTCTATATAAACAAAATATAAGACTAAATTTTTTTTAAAAAAATGAAATTTATTATAAAAATATTTTTTTAATAAAAAAAAAAAAAAAAACTGGGTGAAATTTGTTATTAAAATTATGATAAAAAATTAAAAGATGATATTATAGATTTTTATAAAGCAGATAAAGTATTAACCAAAAATTTAAATAATAATTTAAATAATACTAAAGATCATTCATACTTGATTTTATTGAAAAATTAAATAAAATTTTAGAACTTGAACTAAAAGTTTAGAAATTAGTCAAAGTAATGGTAATTATTATAATATTTATAAATTATTTATAATTTAATAATTTCTTTAATTAAACATATATATCTTTTTAATTATCACCATTTTTAAAATGGTATGATCAGATGATTTGTCGATCAATTATAATAAAAAATGGATTTTTAGATTACACTAAAGTAAACTTTAAAAAAACATTTTAAAGAAACTATTTTTTCAAAACTTTTTAACTTTTATTAACCTTTATAACATAAAGTATTTGAGCCTTATATATTAATGAGATTTAATATGTAGAAGCTTCTTTTAGCTTATAAAAAAATTCTTAACTTCTTAGCAATTTTTAAACGATTTCTTAGTGATTACTACAATTATTGGTGAGATTCCTATTGTAATTCCTAAGTAAGTTTTTTTCTAAAAGCTTCATTTAGCTTATACTTATCTTTTTTTTTATAAAATATATTTTAAGTAATAAGAAATAATTTTTTGGATGAAGTCTTTATCATTTTTATAATAATTCATTCTAACATGAAATTTTTGATTTTTTAGAAAAATGCAATAATTGTTAATTTTTTTTATGGATCTAATATGTTCTTATTATAAATATATTTAAAAATATTTGATATTTTAAATTACTAGAGAAATTATTTATTTTTTAAAAGGATTTTTTATTTTTTTAATAATGAAAATGAAAAAATTATTTAATTTTATATAAATAATTTGTTATTTTAATATAACATTTATTTTTTGTATTTTAATATTTATTTTTTTATTTTTTTCAAGTGTTATTTAAATATTTTTTTAATTTTTTTAATTTTTTTTTGTTGTTTTCAAATATTTTCTGTGTTTATGATTTTTTTTTAATTGATCGATAAATCACCTGATCACACTAATTCAAAAATGGTGATAATAAAAACTTTAAATATTATAAATAATAAAATAAGTAAATAACTTAAATATAAAATTGAATATATATATTTTAATTTATTTATATTAATTTATTTTTATAATAGATGAAAATAATTAAATCTATTTATAATATATTAAATATTTTTTTTTATAATTACCGTATTCTTCTGAAAATTAGCAATCTCCAAAAATAAGCAATTCTTAAAATAAATAATACTCAAAAATAAGTAACACATTGAATATTTAATTAGTTTCACATTAAAACTATATGAAATGTAATAAGAATATTTTAAATAATAAAATAAAGCTCAAATAAACCAAAAAAAGTATTTTATTAATGAATTTTATAAATAATTGCTATAAATTTTTATAAATATTATTTAGTATACTATATATAAAATAAATATTATAAAAATTACAGTTTGTAATTACTTAAATAAACTTTTATATTTTAATTAAAATATAAATTATTAAAACTTATTAAATTAATTTTTTAATAAATAATTAAGATTAATAATTAATATAAATAAATTAAATTAATTATAAATAAAATAAATAAAAAAAATTTAAAAAAATAAATTATAATAATATTAATTTATTTATTAATCAGAAATTATTTTGTATTATTAATAATAAATATTACCAATAAATATAATTAATAATATATAATACAATTTAAGTATATATCAATATTTATGTTAATTATATAATATAATAATTGATTAAAATTTTCTAATTTCCTTTATAATTTTAATTGATATAATATTTTCAATCCCTGATAAAAAGAATGACGAAAAGCTTTTTTGAATAATAAAAGTTTTTAATAAATAACTTTAAAATATTTTTTATTTTCAAAAGCTTTTGATTAAAAAATTATATTCTCAAAAAATTAAAATATAAAAAGTATTTTCCTTTTCTATCAATTTGAATTAAATACAAGTTAAAATACTAAAAAATTAGAAAGTTAGCCTTTCTTCATATTAATTTAACTTCATATTTTCTATTTCCTACTTTTTTTTAATTAAAATATATTATTTCTATTGTAAAATTATTAGTAGATGAAGCTCATTAATATAGTAAAATTTTTTGTAATATAATCAAATACTTAAATTTGAACTTATTTTATAATTGTAAAAATTTTATTTATATTGAAATATGCATTGTAAACTTCAAATAATATATATAGCATTCAGGTAATAATATATATAAAATATTATGTAATTATTTATATAAATTCTTCTAAAAAGTTAATTATATAGTAAAGGATTGCATTTTATTCTTTTTACTAGAGGCTGTATATATACGGAGATTGCCAAAAGTCTTTGAACACCACTTATTAGATGTGATTCAATATTGACAATTTTATATAATTTAGTAATTCTGCAGTTATATGATGTTTTGAACCTTGTTTATATAAATTGTACTTTAAAAATGTATTTCACAATAGTGATAGTAGTTTTCAAGAGGATAATTCTCAGTCCCACAATATGAAGCAGGCAAAGAATTTTTATGCAGAAAATAATATGCATGTTTTTTCATGGCCTGCTTAAGTTCAGATATCAATCTGATCAAAAATCTGTAGGCTGATGTCAAGGAAAGCATCTGTGAAAGGAAAAAAATGTCTTCTAATATTGCTGAACTAGAGCGGCATATTAAGAAGTTATAGAGAGAAATTTCAATATATACTATTGAAAATTTAGTTAATAATATGCCATAACGAATTTGAGCTTTTATTAAAACAAATGGAGGCCTAATCAAGTACTAATTAATTAGTATAAAATTTATTTTATATGTCATTTTTAATAAATATTTAATAAATTATTTAATTAAATTTTAAAATTTTAAATGATTTATTAAGCTAAAAAGCATTTAAAAACTTTTGGCAGCCCTCTATAGTAATTATTTATTATTAAATATTTAATTATAACTTATTTATTTTACTATAATTGATTCATTTTAAATAATTAAAATTATTTTATTTTATTAAAAAATATTGATATTAGCTTTTTAACTATATTTAAAATAAATGAAAGATTATTAAATAAATATTTTTCTTATTTTTCAATATTATAATTTTATTAATAATTATTATTTTAAACTAGTTTTATAAGAAATTTATATATAGAAATAATACATTTTGATATTTATAAATAAATATAAT